ACTTGGATCCTGAAATTTACATTTAGAAAACACTATCACATTTGCTCAGTCTATAGATTCTGGCTCCAATTTAACTTCATGTGGTTAAACACTGATTAATGACCTACTACCAAATAAAACATTTTAAAAATTACTATGAAAAACATGCTTAGGAATCCTTGGTCGTATAGTACTAGAAACATACAATAAAAAGTTCATTAAAAATACTAACAAAGCCTTAATATTAAATGAATGCATTTCCTCCCAATTCTGCAATACTTAGAGAATTTTCACATCCATAGTGTTTCTAAAAACCTACAAATACTATCAAGTATTAAAAACTTCCACTTCATATTTCTATTATAGACTGTCCACAGGCAAGTGCAATATTACCATTTTTATTAACATTAGTGGTAGTTTATTTATCCCATATGATCAGGGAAGGAGTACAATTCAGTGGAATCTCTCTTCAGGACATTTACAAGGAAACAAACAAAAACAACCCCACAAGTCTTTTGGAAATGGCACAGCTACCTTCTTTGCCTTTCTAAATGAAATAGACTGAAAGTAAGATTTTAATTGATAACTCAGGATCATCCATTATAGTCCTATAATACAGTAAAGATTTTAAGGATAGAAGTATAAGAGATGATATGCTTTAAAGCAGGGGTCCTCAAACTTTTTAAACAGGGGGCCAGTTCACTGTCCCTCAGACCGTTGGAGGGCTGGACTATAGTTTAAAAAAAAACTATGAACAAATTCCTATGCACACTGCACATATCTTATTTTGAAGTAAAAAAACAAAATGGGAACAAATACAATATTTGTATTTGCATGTGTCCCGCGGGCCGTAGTTTGAGGACCCCTGCTTTAAAGTCAGTAAATTGGTTGCTAATGACCTATTAGCTGTCACTCCTGCTGTAAGCAGCCCAATTCCTTGTGTTTATAACTTGACAAACAATCCCAATCAATAAACAATCCCAAACACAATTCTAAACCTGAAGGAAACAACTTTCTCTTCCTTCAACTACCATCTAATTATCCTATATAATAAAAGGCTAATATGCAAATAGACCAAATGGTGGAACAAATGAACAACCAGTCGCTATGAAGTGCGCTGACCACCAGGGGGCACGTGCATGGTACATGGCGGGCATTGGCCATCGGCGGGATGGTGCAGCAGGTGAGCAGGGGTGCCAGACCAAGGCAGGGCGCTGGTCGCTGTCACTGGGGCAAGCCTCTGGTGGTTACTGAAAATTCTTTGCTCCCGCGTGCCGCAGTCCCACCTGCACCCACTGCTGGCACCAGCCCTGCTCGCACCCACAGCTGGTGCTGAAGCCGCCACTCGCAACCACTGCCAGTGCCCAGCGCCAGTCCTGATCGCTCGACACCATCAACAGGTGCAATTAGCGGCTGCTGCCCCAATCGCCTCTCAGAAGCAGGGGGAGGTGAAGAAGCCCTCAGGGGCGATCAGGGCAGTAGCCGCCACAGGTCGCACTTGCACCTGCTGCTGGCACCAGACCCGATCACTCAGTGCTGTCAGCGGGTGCAAGCGGGGCGGCGCTGTCAGTGCATGGGAATGGCGGTGGGAATGAAGGCAGACAGGGGGCCGTGATGGGAGGGGCCAGGCGGGGGTGCAGAGTATGGGCCAAGACTTGCCCCTGTGCCCACCGCAGCCTTGTGGCCAACAGTTCCTTCCAAGGTGCACGAATTCGTGCACTGGGCACCTAGTGTATAAATGTAAAAGAAAATGGAAATAACTGAGTAAATGAAAAACGTAAGTTTTACATGGTAAAGGCAGTAAAATATGTTATAGGCAATAAATTGGTGGGTTATCAAGAGCAATATGAATAATGAAACAAAGGAACTTAAGGCAGTAGGCTTAAAAAAAAAAGACAAGTGAAAGGATGATTAAAGTGAAATTTGTAAGTGAATTCCATACAAGCTAGATGAATGAATAAGGGAAATGAAAGTCTACCTTATCATGATAAATAGTAGCAAAGGTGGATGGAGCTCTTAGATAATGTAGAAGTTAGACAATGGAAAATCACTGGACCTTTTAGTAAATACTGTGATTAAGATCAGTGCCCCCCCGCCCCCCCACACACACATACACACACACACAACACGCATGCACACACGCGCGCGCGCGCACACACACACACACACACACACACACACACACACACCACACAGGAATGAGTATTCAAAGTAATGAATCAGTGAAACATTAGGTAGTATACTGCCAACAATTTACTTGTAAATTGAGTAAGACCAAAGGAAAAATAAGACAATTTCCTGAGCTTCAATTGGCAAATATTTATTAAACACTCACTATGTGATTTGCAGCATGTCAAATATATTCCTCTCCCTCAAGCAGCTTACAATAACTTAGGAAAGTAAATACATCACAGACATTAAGTGATAAAAATTTTAATGCAAATTAAAGCAAGGCTCTCATTTTAATGCTAATACCAGATTATGATCTGGTATTATGATGTTATGTGAGGCCTGCTCATGCTGCACGAGTTTGAATCAATACAACGTTCACATTCTGGAAGGACCTTTGGTGATGTTAGAAGAGCCTCAACACACACTATGTGCACATACACGTAAACACACAGAGACTCTGACCCAGTAATCCTTCTTTTACAAATTTAAGGAGAATTTTTTTTTCCAAAGATTTATGTAAAGGCTATTAGTGAAATTTACACTAGCAAAACATTGGAAGCATCCCAAACATCGGCCAATAAAAATAAAATTTAAATATGACAGTTACATGATTTAACTAATGTGAAGCTGCCAAAAATAATTTTTACCAAGACTAATGACATGGGAATGCTTACGAGGTGAAGTTAGATGAAAATGCTGCATGCTTCCATTTTTTTTAGGAAAAAAAAATATGCCAAAATGCATAGGAAAATATTTAAAGAGAAGCACAACTTATTTGTAGTTTTATTTGCACTCGTCCAGATTTTCCAAATTATTTTGTAATATTTAACAAGGCACCACACCAAAAAAAAACACCCTAAAAATAATAGTAAAATCAATGGGAACCGCTGGCTCCACAGGGCTGGGAAAGATAAGCAATGACTTATCTAGATGAAAACTGTGAGCAAATGATGGCACTGGTGACACGATCTGAGCGAGTAGGAGCGAACTGCGGGAGAACCAAAGATGACAGTTACAACAGGTGTGGGAGACACTCCACTATCTACCACTGCAGGAGTCATTGCTTGTATTTTTTCCGGCGGGCTGGCTTTCAAGAAACAAAAAAATCTGACTTATGTTACGAAAAAACCCTATCGTGTGGCAATTCCTCTACTCGCGGTGTTGGTAAAGATCAGGCTTCCCTGTCGCTAACGCGAGGCATTTGAGCTCAGAACCACCTCCTGAGGCCGGGACGGGCCCGACAGACACCCCCCCCTCCCCTCCCCTCCCCCCGCCCCGCCCCCCCGCCCCCGACCGGGAAGGGGAGGCTGCGACCCGCCCGGGACGGACGGGGCCGGGGACCACGGCACACGGCGGGGGCCGCTCCGGCGACCCGCACTCCGGAGCGCCAGGTTTTCTCCCGCGGGAACTGTTTTTAGAGGCGCTTTTCCCTGGTCAAAACAAAACAAAACAAAACCAAAAAACAACAAACCACGCTGCGGGGTTCGTCTCCACGGGACGGGTAACTCCCCAGCATCCAGACGGCATTCCCTGCGGATCACACCCCGCCCCACGTTAGAGCGAACCGGCCGGGAGAAGGCGAGGCAGCCTTCCTCTGAACCCTCGCCGGCTGACGAAGTTTGGGGGCATCACAAGGAATGTGCTTCCCTCAGTTCAAAAAAACAAACATATATAAAAAAATATCCCCGCACCGCAGACCAGCGAGGAAGGGAGGGGAGCTCCGCCCGAGGCTGAGGGGCGCCGCCGTCATCCTCCCGCGGTTAGTGGAACGACCGCAACGCCGCCCTGTACTTCTTGCTACCGGACCGCGCACACCACCTCAACTTTTCCAGCGACACCGGCCCCCTCGGAGCGCCGAACGGCGACACGCCACTCCTCGGCCATCCTCCGGACTCCCCACCGCCGCCCACCCCGTCTAACCGCCGTCCGCCCCAAATACACGCGGAAAACAAGGGCCGCAGCCAGCACCGCCGGTTCTGCCTCAGGGACTCCCCCCCCCAACGGCGACGGCTACCGCCGCGCCCGCTGAGGGGCCGCGGCCGAAGCGAGGGGCGGGCCCCGCGGGCCACGTGTCCCGCCTTCTGCGCACGCTCCCGCCAAAACAAAAGGCAGGCCGGCCAAGCCCCGCCCCCCGCCCACGTGACGGCGCCGAGGTCCACCCCCAACACCTCCCTCCACCCCTTCCCTCCCCTCCCCGGAGCTACTGCCAAGGCTGTTCGGTTTAGCCGTTTAAATCTGGCTTCGGTCCGACCCCTGCCCTAGAGCGCAACCCGGTGCCGGGACCCGGAGTCCCCCAGCCCCGAGGATTCGAGGGGCGAGGGAGCTGCCGGCCGGCCGCCCGGCCCGCAAATACCCGCGGCGGTCTCCGGCGCGCTTTCCTCCCCGCGCTGCCTCAGTCCCCCGCAGGGGAGACCCAACCCCCTCGGCCCCCCACTGCGACGCCGGCCACTCGCCTGCTGGGGCGCCCTGGCTCCCCTCCGCCGCCGCACCTTCGGTCCGGCCGTGGTGGGGGCTGCCGAAGTGGTCTCTAGCTGCCCGCCCGCCTCCCCCACCCGGGGCGCCGCTGACTCGTCTGCAGAGCGCGCCCCGCTCCTGCCCCAGCCGCCGCCGCCGCCACCGCCGCCGCGGTTTAACAGTCCGCCCGCTGCCTGCACCTCCGGGTGGCTCGGGGCGCGGAACCCTGCCGCGGTGGAGGGGCAGGGGGCGGGGCGCGGCGCCGGCCAATGGCAGCGGGGGAGGAGCCGCGCCATGCAAATGAGCGCGGGTGGCGGGGAAACCCCGGGGGGCGGGGCCACAGGGGGCGGGGCCTCGCCGGCGTTCTGGAAGCGGTCAGAGCCCGACGCCCGAACCCCGCGGCGAGAGCGCGGCGGCTCCCTTGGGTGCGTTTAGTGTCTCCACGGCTTCCTCCTCGGCCCTTTTCCGTGCCAGCCGGGAAAAACAGACCTGCGCGGCACAGGCGCGGCTCCGTCACCTCCCGCCGCTGCTTTGCTATTGCTGTGCCTCCGTGAGCACGAAAACAAAGCGCAGGGCAAGAGGAGGCTGCCGCCCGCCCTGCCGCCCGCGCCGGCGCCCGGCGTCCTGGCCATCCCTCCCTGCAGCTTGAGTGGCAAGTTCTAACAAAGCTTTGTCGTAGGTGCCAAGTTTGCACGTCTCTGTGCATTTGCTTTTATTTGGGCTGTGCGTTCAAACCCGAAGCCGTAATTCTGTGGGACCCCCAAGGGGCCCTGACGTTGGGTGACTAATCTGCCTGGGATCCGGCTGGGTCATGTTACGGTAACAATCAGGAGCCACCGAGTCCAGCCTTTTGAAATCTTCGCAGAGCCGGTTTGAACGGCGTTGGAGTTACCTCCGTTCTGCAGTGGCGCACTCAGATAAATCAGTGGGGTTTTACGTACAGATAGTTGGCTGGGGACATAGAAAAACAAATCTCACTCCTGCACCTAGCCCAGCGCTCCACTCTCCACTAAACTACACCCCGCATTTCCCCAGCCACGCACTCATCTAAAAAAAATAACACAAAAAAAAAACAGAAACAAAAACAAAACTCAGCACTAAATATAGCTCTTTAGATGCTGGATTACAGGCTCTTCTAAGCACCTAATTTACACATGGGATGGTTTTTTAGGGGATGAAGCGCACTAGAATTTTAGATCCAGAGAGACACTTGTCATCATTTCTCATCCTTAATAATTGGATAAGATCATCGGGGGGAGAGGGGGCGGGGAGAGATGGCGAGGGAAGGGAGGGAAAATCCAAGTAATTGGAGTTACACAAAAGCATAATACATGACACATATTACTGGAATTGGAAAATAACCGGTTTGTTGCTGGTCTTCCTGGCAGATTGTGACTTTACTGAAATAATTTTTAGGACAAGCTGCATTTATAGGAGAGAACTCAAAACAGTAATTGTACCTTCATATGGGATAAAGAAAGAGTTTTGGGAAATTGATTTACCTTCACTGGAATAGAAACTATAAGCTAATGATGTACTGTGAAAATTAAGTCAACAAATATGTATTGGGTATTTACCATATTCAAAGGGCTATCATGCAAACAGAAATGCAAAAATGATTCAGGCATTAAAATGTCTGTGGTTTTTTTTAATTAGTTGGGATACTTCAAAGGAAGATTTTACTTGAGCTGGGTATTTTTAAAGATTTTAGGTAGAGAAGGAAGGAAGGCATCAATAGTTCAGGACATAGTATTCTTGAGTTAGAGTAGAGGTTGTAAATATTATATTATTGGGCTGGAAAAGCATAATGTCAGATGAATTGCATAAATTTTGAATAACAGAAATGCAGATTTTAACCTGAAGGAAGTGTAGTGCCAGCAAATCAGTTGAGTATACAGTTTTCTCCTATGAATTACCAAAACAAATATTCAAATATTTTCCAAATGCATATGATTGGTACAGGATATATAACAATAAGCAAAGTTCCTGCTCTCATGGAATTCATAGGGGGTGATGTAAACATTAAGCTTTGTAATTACATGAGTAATAATTTAGAAGGCAGTTTCCCATACATTATCTAGTTTGTTGATCAAACAACCCTTTCCAGAAAGTAAGCTATTTATAATTCTCTGAGTTAATTCTTTTATTGTAGAGTCAGTCCTGCAGTCTGCCACATTTGCAGACCTTAAATAAAAAATTTAGTCTATCAAGCCATCATACAAATAAAACTTTATCAATCCTTTTATAATTGGCTTACGATACTTTAAAAGTAATAGGAATTGGGGGGAGGAGGTAAGAAATGAACGCCAGTTTTTCAGAAACCACAGAATACCAAAACTCCTTAATATAAAAATTAATGTACTGAACCACTTTTCAAATTGTTTTCTATACTTATTATTCAGGAAAAGCCTGGAAACTGCATTGTTAATTTTTCAAATCAAGGATATGTCTTTATTCAGAAAGTACATTAAAAGCATTCTGATTTCCAAGAAAATAAATAACAGCGGCTAGGAGACTTAAACGAAGCAGGAGGAACAAGGAGAAGGGAAGGGCACCATTCTTGCTGACATAATTAGTCCCTGTCTGAAAGCTATAAAAGTGTCCAGGTAAGCTACATTACAATGATTTCATGAGATAAACTTCTTTCCTCAACACTGTTTTTATTCAGTCTTTTCATTCTGGAAGCACGTGTGTGGCACTTAATATACAGCTGACATTGTGATAAATGCTCGCGATACAGGGGGAAGATCATACCCTAGTCTTAAACAACTCACAACCAGGGAGAGTTACAAGCATAGCGTTTTCTACCCCCCTCACCCGCTCTGTTTTGGTCCTGGCACTTATCACCATCTCACATAACACAGATTTCTATTCTTTGTTTTTTGCTTCCTTGTCTCCCTAGGCTGGAATGGAAGCTCTGTGAAGCCAGGCACTTTTGCTCTTTTGCTCACTGCTGCATCCCCACAGCCTAGGACAGTGCCTGGGACATGTAAGTCCACACATATTTGCTGGATGAATGTATGTATTTAATTCTCTCATTTTGCAAAGTGGATGTTATATTCATTTTTTTAAACATGCCCAGATTAAAAAATAAAAACGAAATTCAATGAGGTTAAATATTGTATTCTATATTCTCACACTAATAAATGGCCCATCTCAGACTTAAGGACAGACATACCTAGCTCCAAAGCCAGAATTCTTTCCTCACTACCCCCTATAGCAGTGATGGCGAACCTATGACACGCGAACTCATTGTTTTGGTTGATTTTTCTTTGTTAAATGGCATTTAAATATATAAAATAAATATCAAAAATATAAGTCTTTGTTTTACTATGGTTGCAAATATCGAAAAAATTTCTATATGTGACAGGGCACCAGAGTTAAGTTAGGGTTTTTCAAAATGCTGACACGCCGAGCTCAAAAGGTTCGCCATCACTGGCCTATAGAATAGGAAGCTAGTTTGGAAGCTTGTACTATTTTTTCCTTTATATTTCCATGCCTAGGGTGACTATCCTACACTGTCATATTCTAGCATATTTAATTCCTCCTTTTTATGATCATGTTTAGAAAGTAGAATAGGAGAAGCAGTAGGGGTACAGGTGACAAGTACTATTCAGCATAGATTTAGCTCTAACTGTTCAGTATCACAAGACAAAGGGCAGGGGTAAGTAGCAAGAGTTACAGGATAATGGCTCTATGAGGTCACCAGGGACCCAGGCTCCTTTCTATTATTCTCTTCTGCCTCCATTCTCAGGATACAAAACTGGTCAGACCTGACCCATGGCTATAGTGGAATCAAAACTGACTCCCTGTTTATGCAAATATCTATACCACCTTAATTCACTGTAGCCCCAAACTGAAGACTAGCCTAAGATCCATCACCCGGTATGGTTGAAAGATAAACAAATTATGATACTTCCATATAATGGAATACTACTCAGGAATAAAAAGAAACATTATTGATACACAGGACAACATAAGTAAGTCCCAGGCAGTATACTGAAAGAAGCCAGACACAAAAGGAGTAAATATTGTACAATTTCAATTATGTAAAGCACTACAAAAGACAAATATAACCTACAATGACAGCAGATGAGCAGTTGTTTAGGCCTAGGGTGGGGAGAATTGAGTAGGAAGGGTATAAGGGATGATGGAAATACTCTATATCTTGATCATGATGGACGTTAAATGGGTGTGTGCATTTTTCAAAACTCATAAAAATGTACAGTTAAAACAGATACGTGTTATTGTATGAGGATTATACTTCAATAAAGTTAATTTTTAAAACAAGGGCTCTCTGATGAAGATTGAATCAGAACTATCAGTGATAGTTCAAAAGATAGGCAGAAAAATTAAAAAAATAGTCTGTATCAGTCAAGATGCAGGTAGCCTATGTGAATTGTATCTAAAAGCCCCAAATAACGATGGCATAAAAAAACCACACATAAGGATTAATTATCGCCCTTTTAAGTTATTTTATCTATTCTAAACATATTATTTTTCACAACTTAACTTTTCTGAAATAAGAATGACCTCTGTATTGATGCAAGAACAAAGCATTGAGTCCATTTTATTGCCAATGGGCTTTTTCTTAATATATATATAATGGTTCATCTTAAGATTTAATAAAACATGGTTTAAAAAAGAAACTTTAGAGAAAGATAGTCCAGAGCTGATATAACAGCTCTAGGAGGACACCAGGGACCCAGGTTCCTTTCTATTATTCTCTTCTGCCTCCATTCTCAAAGTACTTCATAGTCCCACATGGCTACTGGTGCTCCAGCCATCCTATCCACTTTCCCAGGCAGGATGCAGAAAAGGGATAGAAGGCAAAGAGGGCCTTTAACTGGCTCCCCTGAAGTTCCTCTCAACAATTCTATAACTCCATTGTGTGGACATATCTAGGTGCAAGGGAGACCAAGAAATACAGCTATTACATTGTCAACCTTCATTAATATAGGGATTATTATCTAGGAAGAAAGGGAGAATAGATGATGGTTAGGCAATGGTCTCCACCCTTTTCGAAAACAAAATGTCTAAAACAGCTGAACGTAACAAGCTGGTTTGGGAGGAAGGGAGGTCAAACAAAGAAACAGCTAAAAGAGATTTGTTAAAAGTACATTCCCTTTTTTCAGGCTCTGTGGTTTTGCCCAGGATTGTTAAGAATGAGGAAGATATTGATGTAATTAGAAAGAATATCCTAATTACAAGTCTTCAAAGGTAGGCAAAGGTAGTTTAGGACCAAAATATGGAAGGATATGATGCAGGTTTAAGTAAGGAATGTAAAGTTTATTCTGTAGGTATTAGTGGAAACATTGAAGATTCTTGCATTAGTAAAATAACTAAAGTGTTGTTTTTGAAACACTAATCCCATAAATTGTTACACTCAACAGGCATATCCAGAAATACTGGTCAAAAATAACCACAATTAAAACATATCCCAACATTCTGATTCATTTCATATGAAATGTGAACATCATGGCAATTTCTTGAGGTCAACTGAAGGTGTTACATAGATATTGTAACACCAGTTCTATTTCCTCAATAACATATCATGTGTAAGAGCATATGACAGTTGTATTGGTCATGATGGGCCAGGTTAAAATGCAGTAATACATAACCCCAAAGTCACCGGGACTTAAAAAAAAAATGTTTATTTTTACCACACACAGAGTTTGTTGCAGGTCCAGGCAACTTTTCAGAGCACTTCTCTTCCATCTGTTGAATTTTTATTTCATACTTTGATCTTAAGTTGCTCCCACAGCACTTTTACAATTGCAGCTACAAGATAAGACATGTCACTTACATCTATAATCCTTTGGGAAGGGCTGGTCACACAGTCCTGCTCAATTGTAAGGGAATAAAAATAAGTAAACTTCTGTGCAGAGAATATTAAAACTCTACTGCAAAAGTCATGTAAAAAATTTTTTAAGTGGCATCAACAGACGAGACTACATCTAATCCCAGCAACCAGGATCTAGTTGGCAGTTTTTGTAGCAGGTATTTTTAGTTACCTATTTGGTTTCTATTCCATAATTTCCCTTTCCTAATAGTTTTTAGATTTTCATGCTAGTAGCAGCCCTCCACACAGCTCTTGAGTTATGTATTCCTACCTGTATGTCTCTAAATGGGTCCTAATTGGCTTAAGCCAACTAATACATTCCACTTCCCTTGGCACATCATTGATTCAGAGGTGGGCATGTGACAAAAACTAGCCCCATGAGAGGGAATTTCAGCACTTAAGCCTAACATGCTGGGCAAACATGCATTCTTGCATTCTCTCACCCCAGACATGAACAGGAAAGCCCATCCCATGACCCAGTTTTGGAAGTAGGCCTGCACTCGAAATGGTAGAACAGACATGGAAAGCAATTGGTAAAGTGAATCCTATTGACAAAGTGAAACTGTTCAGTCATCCAGCTTTGAGTTTGCCCTAACTCTGAGCTTTCCCGTTTTGTGAGCTCTTTCTTCATCTTTTTAGCCAGATTTGATTTGAGTTTTCTGTTTCTTGCAACAGAAAAAACTCTAAAACTCTAATATAATACTGTGTGTGTGTGTGTGTGTGTGTGTGTGTGTGTGTGTGTGTGTGTGTAAATTATTTATTCCAGAATAAGCCCATAAATGTTGGATTACTTGGGCAGAGCTTCTGTGCATTTTTACAGCTTTTTTTTTTTTTTAATTTCAGAGAGGAAGGGAGAGGGAGAGAGAGAGAGAAATAGAAACATCAATGATGAGAGAGAATCATGTGCCTCCTGCACATCCCCTACTGGGGATCGAACCCACAACCCAGGCATGTGCCCTTGACCAGAATTGAACCTGGGACCTTTCAGTCTGCAGGCCAACACTCTCCACTGAGCCAAACCGGCTAGGGTTCTAATATAATACTCTTGTAAACTGAAACATAACTTCTCTTGGGATATGTTAAGATAAACTTCTGGTGAATTTAGGTTTAAGGAAAAGTATGATTTTTAATAATCAAAGTAATTTCAGGATGGACTTTATGAAACAGAATGTAAAATAAAATTTAAAATAAACAAATAAATTTGGTAGTAGCTTGAAACTAGAAAAATCCCAACTAAAATAAACTAGGGATCTTTGGAATATGGCTGATTTCAGCTATAGGGCAAAAATTGTAAATGATGGGCATGGGTAATTTTGTTGTGCTGAAGAACAAAGACTCTATAATAAATAACACAGTATTACATGATACAGTATCTGGTATTTGCCTTAAAATAATCTATGACTGTAGGAGGTACATGGGGTTATAGATTACTAAAAATTAGTCATGAATTGATCATTGTCAAAGCTGGGTGGTGTATCCACGGTGGCTAATTATACTAGTCTCTATTTTTGTATGTTTGACATTTTCTATAATAAAAAAGAAAAAAATATAATAAACCTGAAGGGACTTTGTCAATCATTTTGGCAAGTTGATTCAAAAATTTGTATAGAAAGAAAAATTAGAATGGCCAAAAACAATTTTGAAAAAGAAGAATAAAGTTGGAGGAATCCTATTATCTGATTTTAAGGCTTTCTGTAAAGATACTATAACCAAGCAGTGTAGTTTTGGCAAAGGAGAGAGGGATATACATAGATCAATGAAATGGAAGAGAGTGCAGAAATAGACTCGTACAAATATGGGAATGTAAGAATGTAAGATTGGTTCAAATATAATTTGAGAAATATGGTCAATTAATTTTTACAAAAATGCAAAGGCAATTAAATTTTAAAAAGGATACTCTTTCCAGCAAATTACATTGGAAAAATTAGACAACTAGATGCAAAAAAATGAACCTCAGCTTACATTTCAAGCCTTATAAAATTACTAAATGGAACATAGATCTAAATGAACAATGTACAATAAAAGTTCTTGAAAGAAAACTTGAGTTTGGTCAAAGAGTTCTTAGATATGATACCAAATAAATTTGAATTCAAAATTAAAAACTTTTGCTCTACAAAACACCCTGTCAAGAGAATGAAAGGACTAGATACAGCCTTGTGACTGCCTCTGTAAGGCAGGTCTTGTTAGGAGCTGCTACAGATCATGTCTCACTTGTTTCCCTATCTACCAAGGAGGCAGTTAAGAGACATTTTCTAACTAAGAGTTTAATGGTGGGCCCAGCCGGTGTTGCTCAGTGGTTGATCATCGGCCTATGAACCAGGAGGGAGGCCATGGTTTGATTCCCATTTGGGCACAGTCGGGGCACATGCCCGGGTTCCG